GGGGCGATTCTAGGATCAGAGCTTTGGGGGTGCTGAGCACCCAGAGAGCTGCCCAGCCAGCCAAGATACACTTTACTCGTCACAATGAGACTTCTTGCCTGTCTCTGTCAGTCCCTGCATCCTCCCTGTCCTCGTCGTCTATTGTCTTCGTCTCTGTTATCAGTCATCATAACTTTTGTCTGTAACAAAACCATAAAATCTGATAAAGGTTATTTAAATGCTGCAAAAGAAGAATGGATTGGAATTAAAAAAAAATACACATCCTAACCTTAATTACTGGGGGAGAATAATGAGTGACGCTCATAGTGAGTAAAAAGTAAACTGGGTGCATTTTTTGGATAGAGATTCACTTTTAATGTGCATGTATAATATAATACAGATGCATAAAAACACTCCGAATTTGACCAATTTAATAATACTAATTTTGTGTTAGATTCATAAGATTTATGAGTTTCATGCTTTCATAGTGGTCCTTAGGAGAGCTTGACATTTTTATCAGCTGGTACACACTGTAAAAAGTTTGAAAACACTGATAAGGTAAGTGTATGTGTGCTTTTGGAAAACATTTAAAGCTGCAGTACAGAATCTTTGAAACAAGCTTAAAACATTTTTAGAATATAAACAGAGCATCTGCTTCTCTTTACAGCGCCTCACGTACGTACTGCGGCAGTCATACAGACAACTGGATGGTCCAAAAGTTGGCCGACCTATTACTGGCTGAGGTTTTAGTAGAGTTGTGGCTGAACCACAAAAAAATATATAATTAATTTTACTCCCTAATCAATTATAACGTGAAGTTGGAATGTTGTTAAAGAGGGTCAAAAATGTTTCAACCCAGTTTGTTTTGCAGAGTCTGTATAGCAGCTTTAATATAGAGAGAACACAACTTCCAGATTGTGTGAGTAAAATTTGTTTGTTTTTTTCTTTGTCAGTTTAACAGTTTCTGTTGTGCCTGTCACTGTTCCCTGTCTGTTTCCTTACCTGGTTCTTCCTGACCTTGTACTTTCTCCTCACATTCTCCTCTTTCCTCTCTCCCTCTTCGGACTGACAATCATATACAAATAGATTTTATTCGATTAGATGAAAAATTACATTCATATAAAAAAAAAATACTATTAAGATCACTAACAAAAAGTCCTCTCAGTTTACTTTCAACCAAAAGGCAAATAACCAAACCACACGAACATCTAATAAAAGATAAATATTGAAACACTGAAGCACCCCCAAAAATGGGCTAAAATCACCCCTGATTGCCTTCATGTTTTTCTGTCTTTTATCCTCAATTACTTTGACACAAAGCTGTGACGCTTACACCTTTGATAAAGTCTTGCAAGTGTCAGCTTTCTTTTTATAGATATAAAGATATGGATATGTACTGATACGTGATCAGAATAATAATATTTCTAACTGAGGCAAAATTTCCCAGATTCAAATCGACTCAAATCAAATCAAATCGTGGATCGAATCAATTCTAGAAATCAGTGACGATGTCCAGCCCTAATAATACTACAGATTTTCATGCCTTTAAAACAAGTTGCACTAACAAATGTAAGCTATAAATTTCACTAATTAGGGGATTCTACAACTTTGGACAGTTTGGGCCCTCTCTGTGACTCAGACTTCTCACCTGTGTGAAGTCGCATGTCTCTTCAACTGTAGGTTTAGACGAAATCTTTCCCCACATGTGCTACAGGAATATGGCTTCTCACCTGTGTGAATTGTTATGTGGGATTTCAACCTTGATTTAAAATGAAATCCTTTCCCACAAGTGCTACAGGAATATGGCATCTCACCTGTGTGAATTTGCATATGTCCCTTCAACTGTGTGTTTAGACGAAATCTTTCCCCATATGTGCTACAGGTATATGGCTTCTCACCTGTGTGAATTGTTATGTGGGATTCCAAACTTGATTTTAAATTAAATCTTTTCCCACAAGTGCTACAAGAATATTGTTTCTCACCTGTGTGAGTTTTGATGTGCCTAGTCAAGTCTGAATTATAATGAAATCTTTTCCCACAGGTACTACAAGAATGTGGCTTCTCACCTGTGTGACTTTGCATGTGTCTATTCACGTGTGACATAAAACGAAATCTTTTCCTACAGGTGCCGCAAGAATGTGGTTTCCCACCTTTGTGAATTTGTACATGTTGATTCAAGTTTGGTTTAGAATTAAAGTTTTTCCCATAGGTGGTACATAAATGTGCTGTCTTGGAATTTTGAACTGTCAGTCCCGATACAATTTGCGCTGACTTTATACTGTGTGAATTATCATCCTTTCTTTCATCCTGATCTGTGTCAGTAGAGTTGTGAGAAAGGAGCTGGTCACTGCTTGGTCCTGGTTCACTGTGGTCACTTTCTTTACAGGCAGAAAATGTTCCGGTCTCCTGCTTTTGTACAAGCGGTTTTCCCTCTTGAGTGGTACTGAGTTTCTCCTGTTCCCCTTTAATCTGCGAAGGATCCTCCTGGTCCAGAGTGGAGTTGTTCTTCCGGTTGCAGACCTGCTGATCTGTGAGCCCTCCCTCATCCTTACAGTCATGTTGTGGTAAATCTGAAGCAACAGATTAAAAAAAAAAAAAAAGCAAAAAAAGACATACATTTGAGAAATTACAAGGTAACCATTAGCAGGTCTCCACATGGTAAGCATGTTGCACAGATATACCAATTACAGGCATGTTGGAGGGACAAGTTGTTTTGCAGAGGACACTCCTCTTATGATCAATTTAAGTTTGGAATTGTATATTCCAGAAAGCAGAATATAAAATCTGTTTAAATATTTTTTTCCATTCCATGCTGCAGAGAAAACATGTAATTCTTTAAACTGCCCAAGCAAAAAGAGAATCGATTGGGCGGAAATTTTAAATTGAAACAATTGTCTTCTTCCTTCCTTCTTCTCATAAATATTACTCTGTTGGAATTTGTGTGATATAGGGTGACTGTTGAGTCTTTGTTTTAATGTGCATGCGTCAGCTCAGTAAATGTCTAAAACAGTTGAACTCTTTTCAAACTCTGGCGTTGAATTACAGATATCGCACATTAATTAATATAAACAGATCATCCACGATGAGAAAATAAAGACAATATACAGTGAGGAACATAAGTATTTGAACACTCTGCGCTTGTGCAAGTGGCTCCTCCCTGAGTCTGCCAGAGGTTTCTTTGCAAGTACTCCCACTTAGAAATCATGGAGGGGTCTGAAATTCACATTCAATTAAGGAAATCACATTGTATTATTTCTAAAAAAATAAAGAAAAAAATAAATTTGTTTGTATTGCACTGCTCCACATAATACATAGACACCCTCTAATCTTAAGATTAGGTTCTGGGGTGGCCTAGCCAGTCTCCTGACCTAAGTCCTCTGGAAGAACCTTTGGAGGGAGCTGAAACTGTGTTGCTCAGTGACAGCCCCACAAGCTGACAGATCTAGAAGAGATCTGTGTGGAGACCTGTACAAACCTGGTCAAGAACAACAGGAAGCCTTTGACCTCTGTAATTGCAAACAAAGGCTTCTGTACCAAAGATTAACACTGATTTTCTCAGGTGTTCAAAAACTTATGTGGATGGTATTGGAGCCATGGGTGGCTTCAAACGATCCACAATCATCCCTGTGACCAAGAACAACAAGCCCTCATGCCTGAATGGCTACTGGCCAGGCTCTTAAAAGTTTATTTTGTCACCCAGAAAGAGTAATATTAAAACTAAGTAGCTGCCACCATTGATGGAAACTGGATTTGGGTGGGCCACGCTACGAATTCTAGGATATGTTGGGCCACGAAGTATACACCCGACCCATCCTTCAAATCTGGGTAAAAGGAGGACACACTTGTCGGACGCATAGGAGTTTCTTGGACATTGGAGAGACCAAGCAACCGCTTCATAAATGCATGGCACAAAAAAGAACCACCACCTTGATGGACAAGACTTAGCTGAGAGGCCAGAAATTTTGGCTCTTAAAACATGCGTCAGTTTCCTTATTGGAGTTGGTCCTTCGATTCTTCATGCACCTCTATAACATATCGCTGAGGTCAGATTAGGACTCAACATGAGTTATATTCAGTTTTGTATTAAGAAATCTACCTACAATTTGACAGTTTGACTACAATTTTGCATACCTATTCTGTTTAACTTTACTTCAGGGTTCCACATGATGCCTAGTTCCTGCCCAGTCCAGACGACGATGCCTTTGGTTTCCTGGTTACGTGCAAGCTGCTCTCCTTCCTGATTGGTGTACATTTCCTCCTGTTCCGGGTCTTCTTGGTTGAGACTGGGGTTCCTCTCCTGGCTACAGACCTGCGGGTCATCCAGATCCTCATTTTCCTTACAATTATGTTGCTGTGGGAGGTCTTGATGGAACAAATGACAACAAACATGAAAAAAGTTACACTGTGAGCATGTCTCTCAGATATGTGAGCGATGTTTAAGGTGCACAAATTTTTTAAATATTATCTCTCGTGCGGTTGGCAGCAAGGCAAAATGGCTGCGTAATTTCTGAGCTCCTCGTGGTCGAGCAAATTTCCCCTTAAATTCAAGTTCTTTTTACTACTTGTATGTTTAAAACAATGCAGGGGTGGGGACAAAGACAAAGAAAAAGAACAAGATACATGAACCAACTGAACAGTATTTTCCAGAAGAGAGAGAGAACACGCATGCGGATATGGCTAACTCAGATAAAGAAAATGGCGAGGGGGACAAACTCAAATCTTTGCAAGAGGGCATTAAAAATATCAGCCAACAAATCTTTGACCTCCGGACGGAGATGAAAGCTGACTTCAACGCATTCAAAGAAGATTTCAGGCGTGAGTTGAAAGAAGACCTGAATAAATTCAAAAAGACACAAACCAACAGCTAACGGCTAATAAGCTAGCAGTCCAAGAATACGGTGAGAAACTTGAGGAAGCCGAAACACGAGTGGCAAAAAGCTAGAAGCCCTTCAGTCTAGATCGACAAGAAATAACCTGCGAATTTACGGAGTCCCAGAAGGAGAAGAGGGCAGCTCTGTAATAAGCTTTGTTGAAAATGTGATCAGAAGAGAGAGGCTAATACCTGATGGCACTGACCCTGAAAAATAGCCACAAAAAGTTGCGATGGATAAGCTTGGAAAATAGTTTTAAACCAGGACAATATGACAAGGCTTTCAAAGAGTGGACCAACAGGGGCCTGACTGCTTTCTGTTTAATTACCAAAAGGGACAAAGGTAGGAGCTTTCAAGAGCTTAAAGACATGTTTGAATTGAAAAACCAGGATTTGTTTCGATATCTACAACTTCGAGACTACTAAAATAAAGAGATAGCTGAGGCTGAGATGATTAACTCTTTTAATTGAAATGATGTGCAACGCCTACCAGCAAAAAACAACAGAAATCTAAATTATACCTCAATTTGATGAAGAACCAAAGATTTATCTTCTGGTCTTGCTCTAAAAACCACTCATTCTGGAAAACAGTGGGTGATAAGGTTTTAGGTTACAAGGTTCCTGAGGACTGTACTACAGTATTTTTAGGAAATATTGATGATAAGGTTAAAAGAGAGGATTTATATTTAACTAAGATTCTTCTCACTGCAGCAAGAAAAGCCATTACCAGGCTGTGGCTTAAACCTGAGACTTCCTTCACTGGACAAACATAATTCAAAATTTTTGTTTTTTATTAAACAAACAGAAGATGTTGAACCCGGTTTATATTTTACAGTGCTAAGAGAAAACATGTCTTCAGTGAGGTAGTATGCTAGACGGTAATACACGCCACGTGTCTTTGTCATGTCATCACCCAACGTTTTAATATGTAATCTGTATATTACAGTTTTGCATACCTACTGTGGTCAGCTTTACTCCAGATTTCCACAACAAATCCACCTCTTCCCCAGTCCACACATTAATGCCTTCAGCCTCCTGCTTCAGTTCAAGCTGCTCTCCTTCCTCACTGCTGCACATTTCCTCCTGTTCCTCTCTAGTCTGTGGAGGCTCTGGGTCCTGCTGGTGGAGACTAGAGCTCCTCTCCTGATCACAGACCTGCTGATCATCCAGACCTTCATCAACAAAGGGACACAAGAAAATGGTGACTAATGTGATGATAAGAAGGGTCATCTATTGAGAATCAAGCTTATGGTTTCATAAGCTGGGGTCTCATTTTTAGATGCCAGTGATCATCACACAATGTGAAAAAACAAACAAACAAATGAAAAGTAACATGATCTGAATATTTTAAGCATTTGAAGAAGGCAGATAAGATATGTTGTTAATTCTAATCTTTTGATATTTTACTGATAAATATACACTGACTGGTTACTTTATTAGGTACACGTTGCTAGTACTAGTGATAGATAGTAAGTGATGATTCTGCAATGAATCATTACTTGTTATTAATCACTGGCTCTCTTCCAGAGCATGTGTTTGTTTCCCTCTTCCTCTCTCACCCCAACCAAATGTTCCTCAGATACTTTGGTCCATATTGACATGAGAGTTTCAGACAGCTGCTGCATATCTGTCAGCTCCACATGCGTGATTCAAATCTCATGTTCCACCACATCCCAAAGGTGCTCTATTTTGTTGAGAGCTGGTGACTCTGGAGACCACCCGAGTACAGTGCAGTGTCATTTTAAGTATGTGTGGAAAATATCTCAACCACCATTGCACCATCACCTGGTGTGGTGGTGTAATGGTGTTGTAGCTCATTACACTATTCTATTGTTGTAGCCCATCACCTGGCTTTTTGATACGAGTCATATTCATTTCTGTATCATAAAGTATAGTATAGTTTACTGAGCATGAACATGAAACTGAACATACCCATCCTGGTCAGCTCTACTCCAGGTTTACACAACAAATCCAGCTCTTCCCCGGTCCAGACATGAATGCTTTCATCCTTCTGCTTCAGTTCAAGCTGCTCTCCTTCCTCACTGCTGCAGATTTCCTCCTGTACCTCTTTAGTCTGTGGAGGCTCTGGGTCCTCCTGGTTGAGACTCCTCTCCTGGTAACAAATCTGCTGATCATCCAGACCTTCGTGTCCAACGAAGGGACACAAGCAAATAGTGACTGAATGTGATGATAAGAAAGATCAAAAAGGATTAAAAGGAAACTGAGAATCAAGCTTATGGTTTCTTGCATTGTTGCAAATGTTGCCACAGAAACAATCACTCATCTAGGATCTATTTTTTAGATGTGGCTGCCAGTGATTATTACACAATGTGAAAAAACAAAAACAAACAAATGAACAGCAGCATGATCCCAATATGATAATGAAAGATTAAAGTGTTTAATGAAGGCAGGTACCACTCTCTGTAAATTATACAGATGTTTGTGCTGGAAAATGCTAACAGATAAGCAGTCTCTAAAATAGTCAGATCAGCCAGTGCAGCACAATCACCCACACCATGATCAAAGTGATCACCGTTATTGATCGCCAACACGAGCCGAAACGCTAGAGTATTTGAACACGTCTACCAAAGAAAGATGCCGGTAAGTCTATTTACACAGATGAAACTTCATACACTTTACTGTGGTGTATTACTATTGTAGATCAATGCATTTATCCACACATTCCAAATGCTTCCAAAGCATTGGCAGGAATTGTCCACATGCCCACCATGTGGCCAACTCCTCAGTAAGGAAAATCGCTATCCGGTCTTTAAGTGATGACGTGAGGAATCCTGCTTCCAGTTTTCCAGATTAACTGGCGTCGCAGATCAACTGGCTTTGGTCGAACAGATGTGTGGTAGACTTGCCTTTCAGGAGCCGCTACCGACAAAACAGCAAATAAACAGCAAATATTTAATCTGTGATATTTGTGAGGTTACCTCAAACACACAAAATGTCGCGAGTTTACCTGGATATTCTCATGCAGGAGGCGATCGCGAAAACAGCAAACAATTAACACCACGCCGATGCTGCTCACGGGACAGCAAGAGTAAACGATCGGGAGAATCCTGTAGTTGTTATCGCTCCCCTCGTACGTTCTATTACTCCGATTTCAGAATCACAACTAAAGCGTGCAGTTTACTTTGTGTGCACTCAAATGGAGTCGAGTCAACTAGCTCCACCTGTGGCTAAGTGCCATAGCCTACAGCCAGATTAACTTGTGACAGACATCTGCACCTGGCTCCATCGCCACGTTTGAATTTGTTTCGTGCACAATACATTTGGAACTTTCTGTTTTGTCTGTTTTTGTGTCTTGCAAATAAACCTTTAAAATACATGAAATGGTATCATGTATTTATTTTTGGCCTACATCAGTAGGAAATGCCAAATTATATACACAAAGTTACATAAATCACTACTCAATCATGATGATTTCAGTATTTCTTCCCATAACAAAGAAAGAAAGAAAGCACCCGCTGCTTGTTGCGAAGAGCGATACGCGCTTTCATGTCAAAAATCGTCATAAATAAGAAAAAGTCGCCAGATTTGTCGCTAGTCGCTTTTTAGAAAAACAGAGTCGCTAAAGGTAGTGATGTGACGTTCTG